TGATTAAGGTTAGCCTTGCTCTAATTCCTAATGATACCGGAGTTAGCCATTCATAACAGGAAAGACAAGTATTATTGTTGAAATTCAAATAGGCAATTACAAATAGCTAATATAAATAGGAAATAACAAAGTTGTACACACAAATATCAAACTAGGGTAGATTCATGATCAGATTATGACAATTATCCGATGGTGGTGTGGTTGGGGTTTTAGGTATAAGCAGGTGGAAAGAAGAGAAAGAAAATTTTTGGGGGGTGATATAGGGGATGCTTAGGCTATAGCTTTGATATCAAATCATACTGGACTTATCCAGCCATAATAAGAAAGAAAAATATAATTTCAGAAATTCAAATAGGCAGTTGCAAACAATCAACGAAAATTTGAAGTAACAATGACACACCCAAACATCAAATTAGGGTTGAAGCGAAGGTGGTAGAAGGGTGGCAGCAAGGTGTGTAAGGTGAATGGTGGTTGGAAACAACAAGGAGGGAGTTTGAGGCCAGCAGTAATAAGGAAAATGGTAGTTGGTGGCTCGACAACAACAAAGGGGAAAAGGTGGGGCTGGCGACAGTGGGGACAACGATAGGGAATGCTGGAGAGGGTGACAAGACACTAACAATAGGTGGGAAGGGTGAGCATCTAGCGGTAGAAGAAACAACGACAAAGAGTATGAGATTGGTGGTACGACATCACTTGAACAGGGTGTGATTGGCGGAAAAAGAAACTATGACAGGGAAGGAGGGGGTGGAGGCATGAAATCAACAAATAACGACAAATACACACCACCTCAGAACAAGTTGTAGCCAAAGCATCTTCTCGCTTCATATACAACTCTAGGAGGGAAAGCGGGATGTCGGTGGCTGTCTTGATAGAATTTAAACAAAACTTACCATAGAATAGCAAAAATATAAATATACAATTGAAAGATAATTAGGAGTGGGCCCTATTCCAATTGGGCGACAAATCCAAGGAAAAGAGAGTCTTTCGACTTTTAGGAGATTTTAGATCGGCCCAGAGCCGCTTCCTCACGCTGCCATACGGGAGAATTACGCTCATATTTCTAAGTGCATTAAAATTCTTTTTGACAACTTAACTTGTTATTGACAGTAAGGCATCACCAGTTGGGAATAAGGTGCGACTGACAACAAAAGAAACAACAACGGGGAACCAGAGGCATGGAATCAACAAAGAATGACATATACACACTACCTCAGAACGAGTTACAGCCGAAACACCTTCTCTCATTCGGATACAACCTAGGAGGGAAAACGGGACTCCGACGACTGTCCTGACAGAACTTCCCTAGAATAGCAAAAATAAAATATATAATAAAAGAATAATTAGGATTGGGTCCCATTCTAATTTGGTGGCAAATCCAAGGAAAAGAATCTTCCAACTTTCAGAAATTCTTAGACCATCGCTGAACCGGTTCCTCACGCTGCCGTACGGGAGACTTACACCCACGTTTCTAGGTGCTTTAAAATTCTTCTTGACAACCTAAGTTGTGTTGGTGGTGAGGCATCACCAGTTGGGAACAATGTGCGACTGGCGGACAGGGGAGGGGGTGGAGGCTTGGAATCAACAAAGAACGACAAATACATACCATCTCATGATGAGTTATAGCCGATGCACCTTCTCACCATCAGATACAACCCTTGGAGGGAAAATTGGACTCAAGGCTGTCCTAATAGAACTCAAATAAAAAAAAACTAATCCTAGAATAGCAAAAATACATATTATAACAAAAGGATAATTAGGAGTGGGCCCCATTCCAATTTGACATCAAATCCAAGGAAAGAGTCTTCCGACTTTCAGAAATTCTTAGACCGGCCCAAAGCCGACTTTATCCCGTTGTCATACAATAGACTTAAGCCCGCTTTTCTAGGTGCTTTTAAATTCTTCCCAACAACCTAAATTGTGATTGACCATAGTAAGTCTCTTACTACGTTAGCATGTGTGAGCGTTTATTTGGAGGGGTTGGGATTATTGCTTAAGACCAAGGAAGTGATTATGATGGTAACATATCTGGTCAGTGATATGAATAACATAATCAACATGACATCAATGGTTTCAAACGTTGCTGAAATATCTTATGGGCATCATTATTGAGTGGTCCAAATACTCTTGTTGTATAAATGGTTCACTAATCTCTTAAAGATGGGTTATATGGTCCCCTAAATTAGGAAGCCATATAAGTTAAAGAGAAGCTAATTAAAAACTGCCATGTAGACTAGGCCCAGTCTAGTTGGCAAGCTGACTTGATCATTATTTTAATAGGGGTTTTACTAAAATTTGTAGAAAAATTAGAAAAATTAGAAATATATTGTATCAGCTTTCTAAATTTGTCCTTTATTTTTCAAAAATATATAACAACAATTTTATTTAATTTAATGTTTTATGTAATTATAAATTAAAATTCTCTATTTTTTTTAAATATTAAATTTAATATTTTAAATATTTGAGAAATTTTAATTAATAATTATTCAAAATATTAAATTAATTAAACTCGATTAATTGAGATTTAATAATTATTATAATTATAATTAACTTATTTTATTAAATATTATTAAATTTATTTAATAATAGAAAAACATTAAAATATTTTTTTTAATAAATTTTTACATTACATGCATTCATCTTAAGAAAATGTAAATAATATGTATGTATGTATGTATGTGTGTGTATATATATATATATATATAATATAATGTTGCATTTGTCATATATTTTTAGAAAATTTTTTCTCATATCTCTTTAATTATGTATATTTAAAAATTGAACATGGTAAGAAAAATGTATTCATATCATTTATATGAATTAAAAAAAAATGGAAGTTCTTTTTTTATTAATAAATATTTTTAAATTGATTCTAATTTATTTGATTGTGATTGGGCTCACCTATAAACTACATGATTATTTATACAACACATGCTACAGGTTTACCTTTATTATGATGCATTGATTGCAATGTTGCAGGTGGTGAGTTATTGTGATATGACTAGAACTTGATTTTGTGATATAAGCATTTGTTGTGCTGGAGACTCTAGGGTAGTGGAGTAGTGATGGGACATTTTGTACATCATGCTGGACATAAATAGGTGATATGCCAGCTTTTAGCCTCGCTAATGCACAACATATCATGATCTCTTGACTCTACATGTAGTTTAAGATTTACTTTAAGGTGGATAACTCAGACACATATACTTTACATACATGACTCTTATTTCAGCTATAATCAACACTAGGGCATGCCTAGCTCTTTTTCCATTTGGGCTTGATCGATCTCTCTGCATATTTGACTAGGTAGTTTGATGGCATTCCTGATCATGCAGAATGTAAGTCCAATATTTTGGTCCTTCATGATCATTGGTGTGATCATGTTGTAAGTTGCAACTTTCAAGATTCTTAGACGGTTTAGAAGATTCGAAATCCTTAGGATCCATATCTTCCGTTGATCTTCTCCCTCCACTTAGTTGTGAAATATAAGTCTTGTCTGTCAGTCAGGTGAATATTAGGGACCCCTTACACTTTGGAAGTCCTTGAGGTCCCTTTGGACGATGCGACCCATTGTTGCGGACAAGAAATTTCATGTTAGAAAAGTTTGGTCATCTCTTATGACTAAATAAATTAGGAGCTATGATGACTCAAAATAATGGAATCTTGACTATAACCATTCTTCTATCCCTTAGTTTAGTCGCCTTTTCTTTAGATTTAGTCAACCTATCCTTTTAGGTTAGAGCCTATTTTTAGTTTCGTCTTCCTTATGATGGATATTTCCTGCCTTAGGAGAGTCATCCTTTCTCTTAGACTAGTCAACGTATTTCTTAGGTTAGCTTCTTTCTTCCCTTGGATAGACTTTATTCTATAGGATAATCCCATTTTATTAAATTGTCACCTCTAGAATTATCGTTCATTGTTCTACTCTTTTGTACTTTTTTTAGTTATATGACCTCCATTTAATGGACGACTTTCTTGTATATAGTTTCAGGCCTTTCTGATAGTCCAAACATTGTTTGATGTTCCAAAATATAAATCCATCATCTTTAATGTTGTCTTTTTCCCCCCCATCATTTTTATTGAGTTTCCTTATCCCAAGTTTATTATTATTATTTTTTTAAATAAAAACAAATTGGTGTTTATAAGAGTATGCTAATACTATGCTCCCCTCATCCTAAAAGCTCACCCATACTTTAACCTCCTAATAAATCCATGTCCATCATAACATAAGCCCTAATAGATTTCTCCATCCTTACCTCTGTCAAATATTATTTATGTCAGTTTGCATTAGTACTCATAGTCTATAACCTATCATTACTTGGAGTCCCTATAGTCTTTATTGGAAGAGATCAATCACTATTAAATAAATACAAGTTGAACATAAACAGATTTTTTTAATCGAGAGTTTTCTTAGATGCTGCCCAAGATTTAATTAACCTTTAGAACATTGTTCTTTATGAAAACTTTGACCCTAGACTTTCTAAATTCAAAAATAATGAGAACATCTACGGGGAATTAAAGTCCGTCTTACAAATTACTAATATCACAAGTTCATATAGTAGATTGATCCCATATCATAGAGTACTGTTTGGCTTAGTAAACTTGTGTTTATTTGTCATAACCTTGTAGACATTGATTTATATAATCATACAAGGGAAAATTTTAAGATGAAGCATTCATTGTTGCACTTTACCTATTTCATGTCTGTTTGTGTGCCTCGAAATTCAATTCCTTAAAAAAATTGACTTATATCATATCATATCAGCAATTGCTAAATGATATGATCTGATACAAGTCAAATTTTTTGTTTACATTAACCTAAAAAATTCATGTTGCTGAAAATCAGTAATTAATATGAGTTAAATGATAGTATTTGAATATTAAGAAAAAAATGACCTTCTTGAATTCTCGTTTTCTTTTATTATTATTTGCTGCAATATCTCTAACCTTTAGCCTTCAAAAGAACTCTTATATGAAGGCTGATTTCTGCACTGTAAATCCAGAAAACCTTCCTTCAAAGCACATCTTTGATAAAGCTCTGTATACTCTGGACATCGGTCAGAATGACTTCACCGGCAATCTGGCAGCCATAGGCATCAAAGGAGTCCAGCAATATCTCCCTCAAGTAGCCAACCAAATTGCTTGGACTATAAAGGTGTATACTATTCGGCCTTTTAAATAATCACTCTAAGTTCATATTAAGCTCTCTCTCTCCCCCCCTCTCTCTCTCTCTCACTCTCTCACACGAGAAATTATTGCGTAAGGACAACTGACACTAATTTGCTTCAACATCAAAATATGGACCCCACTGAAATACACAGGTTGGTTGTTTTTTAGAAGTGTGAGATTCATCCTAGCACATGCTAAGTTTAATTGTACATCTAACACGAATTTGCGTCAGGTATCATGATCTAATAATTTTTTCTCTCTCTCACACACACACACACGATCTATTCATATATGTAACACATAAACTTTTATATTTCTTTTCATAGCACTTTGATGTTATAAAGCCATGCATGAAAAGCTATATTTAACTTTTAAAAAGTTAATAATAGTGGTATTTTTGATATATTAAAGATTCAAATGTTATGCATGTAAATATGAAAGTTTAGGTGTTAGAATGTAAATACTTAAAAAAAAGTATGTAGTGGGTGTGTATATCTGTCTATATGTATGCTTGTATGCATGCATGATTGATGGATGGATGCACACTTTAAAGCAAAAATAAAATTTTTACATTACATTGCACTCTGCTTTTTTATAACAATGATTTTATTGTGGTAATGGAATTATATATGTTTATCAGGAGCTGTACAACATTGGAGGAAGAGCGGTTTAATCTTGCACCTATAGGATGCTTTCCAGCTTTCCTAACCAATCTTCCTCATAACAAGTCTGATTTGGATGAGTATGGATGCATGATTTCATACAATAAAGCTGTTGTGGATTACAACAAATTGTTGAGGGAAACTCTGCAGCAGATTCGATCAGAGCTCCAGAATGCTTCTGTAGTGTATGTGGACACCCATTCTGTTAAGCTCCAGCTCTATCAGCATCCACAAAATCATGGTTAGTTTCGCATCTCATAACTTTAGTATTTATAATAAAAATTTAGTTATTTATGTTCTTGACCTCAGGAGAAAAATTTGCGTACGTAAGACGCACGCAGCACTGCCTATGTCAGTAGATTACGTGGAGCGTATTGAGGGGTTATATCAACGTTATACCCCCTGTAACCTCCCTGTAACCTACCTGTACTTTCTAGTAAGTTCCACGCTTCTGTTTTCATATATTTGTACAGGTAAGTTACAGGGAGGTTACAAGAAGCTTACAGGGGGTATAACGCGGATATAACCCCCCAATACTCTCACTGTAACCTACGGACGTACACAACTGTGTATGTAACACGTACGCAAATTTTTTCCCGACCTGAGGGTGTGGTGTGAATTTGGCTTGAAGAATTGAAGATTTAAAGATTATTTTAAAAGAGGGCCATTTACATACATACCACCCAATTCTGATGTATTTACATGACACTTCCAATTTCTTCTATACCTCCCAAATCTTTGATATCATGTAAAAAATGCTTCCTTTTTAACTTTCAAAAAGTGAAGTAACTTATAATTCACATTTAAGGCGTCATTTATGTAAAATTTGAAGTTTAGGGGGGTTAGATATGTAAATACATAGGATTACATGGTATGTATTTAAATCTTCCTTGAGGATAATTGTAATAGGTTGTTGTTCTCATTGATTTTGGATTAAAATCAATGAGCTAAACACGTGAAAGTTTACTCGAATATGACCATCTCAATATTTCGTAAAAATATTGTGCCTGCATGAGATAAGTGCAGATTAGATGCAGATAGGTGATTTTGGGGTGACCTTATGGTGGTATTAAGGTGAATACCACCGCAGTAGCACCGATCCACATATATGGATTCTGTATCTAATATTCGCTCCAATATTTGTAGGTTGAATTAAAAATTTATCTTAAAATTATTAAAATAATAATAATATGAATATTATTATTATTATTTTATCTTAAAAATTGAAATAAAGGAGCAGTTTTTGCACATTTGGAGGCATAGATAGTGGCATATGTGTAAATCTACCTATTAAACATCAATTTTTTTCATTAAAAAAATACAATTTGAATTTCGCATAGAGAAATTAGGGATTCGTCGAAATTTTTTCAATCAATTTCCCTCAAATTATTCTTTTTTAAACTAAGATTGAGCTAACACAAATGATTTTTGAAACAGGGCTTAAATATGGGACCAAAGCTTGCTGTGGATCTGGTGGTGGAGCTTATAACTACAATCCACAGGTGTTCTGTGGCAATAGCAAGAAAATCAAAGGCCTCAATGTGACATCAAATGCCTGCAACGACCCACAAAATTATGTGAGTTGGGATGGGATTCATGCCACTGAAGCTGCCAATAAAATCATAGCAACTGCCATCCTAAATGGCTCATACTTTGATCCCCCTTTCCCTCTCTCTCACCTTTGCCATCTTAAGCCAATAGATTGAATATATATATATATATATATATGATGAATGATGTAAACTTGAAGTGGGTGTGAAAGAATGTTGAAGAATAATAAGATGAAATTTGATTGACTTGGCTTTCAACAACATTGATTGAGTGCATGGATCTTTTTTTTTCCATTGCGTCATATTGAGTGCCATATTTTCATTTAATTCTAATAAATTAAGATCATTTTTTATACAATATGTCAAAGTCTTTCGAGGTCTATCTTTGCCTTTCTTAACATAAGTCGAATATAAAACAATTACTCTCCTAACCGGATCATCAGATGATTGATGTTTAACGTGACCAAAGATTCAAAAAAGTCTTTCTAATTTTGTTTGCCACTGAAGCTACACCAACCCTTTCACGAATATATTCATTTCACAATTTAGCCTCTAAGTGTAAAGCCACTCATCCACTTTAGCGTTCTCATATCGGTAATACTTAAGTTAGTTTTGTGCTTCTCTTTTGAAGGCCAACATTCTGTGTCATAGAACATTGCAGATCTCACCATCATCTTATAAAATTTTCCTTTCAGTCTAAGCGTACTTTTCTATCACACAATAGGCCAGAAGCATTCCTCTACTTCAACGAACCAACCTGAATTCTACTAATAACATCCCCATCTATATCACCATCACTTTGAACAATAAACCCGAGATATTTAATATGTTTACACCTTTTGATAATTTGATGACCTGTAGTTAAAACTCTGTCACTAGATCTACTACTAAAATTACATTCCATGTATTTAGTTTTAGTTCTAGTGAAACGAAGGCCTTTAGACTCCAAAGTAGACCGCCATAACTCAAGTTTTTCTTGAGCTCTTTCTCTAATCTTATACATAAGAAGGATATCATAAGCGAAAAGCATAGACCAAGGCACATCCTCCTGTAAATGTCCCGTAAGAGCATCCACAACTAAAGCAAAAAGATATGAGTTGCACGTGAATTGTTGAACACCATTCAATCAATGTTGACATATTAGTTAGATGTTATATGACCAATTATATTATACTTTATCTAATTGTTGAACACCAAAAAAATGTCCTTACAAAGTTTGATAAAATTGAAGACGGCCAATTTCTATATTTATTGCACGTGAATTTTATCTCGATTCTAATTTGAAGAATGAATTCTCTATTACATCAATTTGAGTCTCATTTTGACAAAAAACATTACGTCCGGAGTTCAGATGCAAGCTGCGTTAAGACAACGACTGCGATCTATCGTAAGGAATGAATGTGAAAAAAACAAAAAAGACCTCTGATGGATCGTAGCCGTTGTCTAAACGCAGCTTGCGTCCTAACTCCGGATGTAATATTTTTTCCATTTTGACACCATACAACTCATATTTTTAACTAAAAAGTTTTATTTCGTTTAATGTCCTTTTAATTGCATGCATTCGGTTATCTAGTATTAGGATACTTGTTATCTATTATTCGTATACTTGTCGAGGTTAATATTATTCAATAATGTCAAATTTCTATTTGGATTGATTATCAAATGTGGGTTATAGGCCAAAAGTTGTAAGGAAATTAAATATTAAATTTTATTATCATTGCCAACTTTTTAAGCATGATTTGTCTATGTATAAAATAATTTGAAATTTGATAGTTAGCATCACAACTATTGTTATTTCTAATCTTACACTTTCATTCATCCCTACAAATAGTATGGTGCTCGTGCCTTCTTAATGATTATAAACTAAAACTATAGCATTAATGATTGTCAGATTGTTGATCAATATGGTAAACTAAAATCTCTTCAAGACCAAGTGTTTTTTGAACCATTACACATTCAAGCTAGAGAGGATTGTGTCAGCACATAATTTTATCAATTTCAATTAACCCTTTGCAAAGATCAAATTGTAGTAATTACACTACTAATATAATCATTTCCTCTGACTCTCATTCTAGGAAATCATGCTCATATTGAGAAAATTTCTATACCGTGAGTTATTTTTCCTCATCTTTCTCTTCCCTAAACTACTAATCTCTTATATCTTGAGATTTTCATATATGTTGCTCTATCACTCTTATTGTATATATAATAATATTATAAGATGACTCTTCGATGTCTATTTTGAAGTTGCTCACTCTTATTTTGAATCATCATGAAAGAAACAAATAGAAATTTCATGTGTAATCTCCTTACTTTACATGAGCTTCAACTAAATATTTTAATTGTAGTAGTTCATATCCTTCACATGAACTTCAATTTGATATTTTGAAAGCACTATCCCATCTAAATAGAAAACATATTATATTTAGTTTTTGATACATCCTAGTCCTCATGAATCATTGAAGAAGGCTATTTCATGATTATGACTTTCTTAAAAGAAAGCTATTAATAAAACATGATGAACATCACAAACAACACATCTTTTATTTTATTAATATAAAAATATAATAATCGTATGCTATTATCATATTCCACTATTATGCTAATAATTAACTACACGAAGCATCATTAACATAAGAAATATTAATTACACTATAAAATATATATAAATAAATAAAATAAGTTTATATACTATTATGAAATGAAAGTATTATTCAAGTATATTTTCTAGGCAAGAGGTCACCACCACCATACTGTGCTTCGGTAAAGAAAATGGCAATTATACTGTATGATTTGATGATGCAGACAGACACATGGTATATATAGAATAATAAGAATAACTATCATAAGTTATGATGTGCAGTATGATAGATACAAAAAAAGTTGATAAACAATCCATCAGACTGGCTTGATGATATTAATTAAAGTATAATAAGAAATAATAATAAAATTATTGTTTACATACTTTATACATATGTGTGCACATCTTATAACTTTCAAGAAAAATATTTACCAAAATTTCTGGATAATTGTTTATGACACTTATAAAAGGTCAAGTGCAAAGTTTAACATGTAAAAATGTGTATTAGCATTACAAATTTTGTATTGAGTTATGGACTCTCTATTTATGATCATGTAAATTAAATGTTGTATATCAATAAATAGTTTTATGGGTCGATATACATATTCATAGGCCTTGCGGGCTTAGAGAGCCTATCTGGTCCAAGACTCAATTGGCACTTGTTGAATGACAGATTTACTCTCCATGATGGGCCGCTGACCTTCCTTGCTGGAGCGCCAGCTATTATAAACTAGCTATCGGGTTGACCACGGTGACTGGCCAACCTCACCTGCTGGAGTGCTAGTTGTCGTATTCCCTGCCATATTGACCTACTAACATTTCCAGTCGAAGTGCCATCTGTCGTATCATCCAAGCTAATGGATTGAGCTGCCCAGTCAGTCTACTAAGACGACTAGACATAGTAAACTTTAGGACCAGAGTAACATTTTGGCTCACTCTGCTTTTGATTATTTCCAAATCAATATTAATGTTTTATGTAGAATTTTAGTTTTACTTCTGGTTTCACATGTTCTAGATGTCATTTGTTAACTGAATAGTTGGCGTCTTACTGCTGTATTTGGTGCTTGAAATTCTTCTTTTGTGGGATGGTTGATATGTTGTCGGCCTTATTCAGATTTACTAGCATCCTGATTCTTACTATTCTAAGAAAGAAGTTCATTAGTTTCATTTTTTTGATTGATTATCATCTTTACTAAAGTGGTTTGGATCCGTTCATATATATGTTATTTCTCGCTATGCTCAATGTGTGGTATGTGGCTTTACTCATTTACTATTTTTGTCCATTTTTTTAACGACATTATAGTAATATTAGTCAAAAATTTGAGAATTATGATTTTTTATTTATCATTCAATTTTATTTGCTTTTAATGAAAATTTAAAGAATATATTTTGCGGGTTTTAACATTAACATAATCTTATCCATTTATTGTTATGTAGATGTTTTGATTTATCGTTTTGAGTATATGTCTTATCATCATCTCTTCCTCTGATGGGGATGCAATTCTCACAGAGCTGCATCCCTCCAATTGGTATTTTTTTTGCTTGTTTTTGAAATGCTTTCCTTATATATTTTAACAGCACAAATTATTCTTTGATATGAATTTGATGTTAAGAGGATGTGTCGTATACATGTTCCTTTTTTCATTTTGATGTGCTGTTTTTCCTTTCAGTATGGTTTGCATAATGTGGAAGCTAAAGTTATCCTTCTGTTTGATTTTTAGTGAGAATTGTGGGATACAACCATGGCTAAGAATTTCTTAATGATTTTATTTTATCAAAGGTTGGATGTATTTCACAACTTCACTATTCCTCATTATAATGTTTGTGCCCAGAGTAGGTTATATGGCACCAAGGATTTGCTTATGTTCCATATTCTTTACCACATTTACTTTGAAATATTTTCATATGGTATAATTTTGATTTCTTATATTGGATCATTATGTGCTTTTGGGCTTATTGATGTGTAATGTTCTTAAATTAAATGGAAATAAATTGTAATTTTTTTGTATTTTTGTTGCTCTTTTAAGCATTATGTTAAGATCCATGTTAAATGGTATTTCTCTTATATTAGTAATACCAAATTTAATTTATCTCTAGGCTATTTGAAAAGTAATATGTATATAATGAATTATCTATTTGCTTTGTTACTAGATATTATTACTTGGATTGTGTTGATGATTGTTATTTCATTTGGAGTTTCAGGTATTTTTCAACTTATTTTTCTAGGAATTTTAGTACAGGACCTTCGTTATGAGGAGAGTATGTTTTTGCAATTTTAACAACTCTTCTCTTTATATGATATCTAGCATTTTGCTTGGATTGTAGACTTGCTTTTTTTCACAAACAACTTTTGCTTGTAGGAATTTTCTTAAATAGCCATAAATCTTGATGGAGAGTTATTATATACTTTATATATATGAAATGGTATCTCATAATTATAACTCTGAATTTTTATATATTTAGGTATATAACACCTAAATTTTAAGTTTTGTATATTTGTCACTTTATCAAGCATAAAAGATGCATCTCAAGTTTTAATAATTTAGAAAAAATGATATTTTTTGTGTTAGAAAAGCTTTGGGTTATATAAATGTAAAAAATAAAATTTAAGCATTAGATATGTAAATAAATAAGAGTTGGGTAGCATGCATATAAATGCCCCCTTTTAAATGAACCAAGAATATCATAAAAAATATATAATGTTTAGTGAAAA